TTCAGTGAAAGTTCTCCCTTACACTAAATTTAATCTGTTCAATGTTGACGCCAGTCATAATATTAACATCCCAATGTCTGAAAAACTCACGTGCTTTTCTTATAGTAATTTATAAATAGGTAAGTTAAAGATGGACTTTCACTTGAGTTTGAAACTATTTGTTTTTTTTTCTACCAAGTTCCTGGATGAAATCACTGGAACCTTTCGTTACTATCACTCGCCATCAAATACTGTTCAGATGTACCCACCAGAAATGGCTCCTTCATCCACTCCTCCATCAACCCCTCCAACTCGCAAAGTCAAGCCAAAGGTGACKGTTGAACGAGAGAGAGAACACTCCAAACTGAAGCGCTCCTACTCTTCACCAGATATAACCCAAGCCATTCAGGAGGAAGAGAAGAAAAGAATTCCTGTAACTCCTGCGGTCAATCGTGACAATAAGTATGTTTGCTAAGTTAGATCACAACTCGGGCAGTATCACAGCACATAGGACATCCTTTGTGTTTAACCGACTGAAATTCGTTAATATTTTCTAAGTGGGTTTGAAAGGATGCAGGAGTGATAGACTGAAATTCTGTTGCGAAAGTTCAGTGTATAGAGCAGTTACCTTTGAGATATCAATATAATAGTTATATATAAGCAGGAATTTCAGCAGTCACAGTATTAATTGGATGACAGTTGCATTTTAAGTTTTGTTATTTCTATTGACATATTAAATTGCTATCTTCTGACAGCTGAGAAATGCAGAAGTTTTCAGATTTTAAACTGTTTTAAATAAACAGCTAATTCTTCATCTGTGAATTAAAGAAATAAAACAAAACAGGAAAAAACCCATAAATCTGGTGCCTAAAATTCRTCCTCATTATTAGGCCAGTGTATATGCATTTCTCACTATTGCATTGGCTGGTTTTATATATCCTAAATGATGGTGTTTGGTGCCAGGATGGTCCAGTCCCTGTGGGTGGTGGAGTGAGTTGGGGTATCTGTTGGTTTATGTGTGTAGCCTTGTCAAGTTTGACACTCCTAAACAATAATTTTTTGCTTGCAGACCTGTCTGTTACACTAAAGCAGAAATTTCCAGACTCTCTGCATCGCAGATTCGGAATCTTAATCCTGTGTTTGGTGGATCGGGACCAGCTCTGACAGGACTTCGTAATTTAGGGAACACTTGCTACATGAATTCCATATTACAGTGTCTGTGCAATGCACCTCACCTGGCTGACTATTTTAACAGAAACTGTTATCAAGATGATATTAACAGGTAACAATCTCTCAGCTGCCTTTATACTTGCCAATTCAAAAAGATCATTTAGTGGGGCTAAAGCGGGGCGGGTGGTAGTTTTTTTACCTAGGAGACAAAGGGTAACTTTTAGGCATCTTGACATTATTTAAATTTGTGTATGTCACTAAATAGGTTTTACTGGAGAGTGATACTTAAATTATGGTCACCACATTCATAAATACATGTGTAGTACAGTCTCCTAAAACCAAAATGAGTATTTAAATACTTTACAAAATATGCTGAAAACAGCTATACCTTCCRTCTTGAATATGGAACCAAATTACAGTGCTGTCATAGTGTGTACATGTCATAGATGAAAATTTTAACTCAGTCTAACAGCCAGCCCTTGGTCCTAAACAAATTATTCTAAAAGTGGGATCATTACTTCAATTAAAAACAGTACTATTAAAAAAGTTATTTGAATGACTCAACTTTTTTTTGTCTTTTATAGATCAAATTTCCTGGGGCATAAAGGTGAAGTGGCTGAAGAGTTTGGTGTAATAATGAAAGCTTTATGGGCAGGACAGTATAAATATATCAGTCCAAAAGACTTCAAAATTACAATTGGGAAGATTAATGACCAATTTGCAGGATATAGCCAACAGGACTCCCAAGAACTGCTTCTCTTTCTAATGGATGGCTTGCATGAAGACCTAAATAAAGTAAGCAAAACACTTAAATAATTTATCTGTCAGATAATCAAGGAAAATAAATTTCTAGAATGCCTTCTTATTCTGTAAGAAGATTATGTTATTGCAGCCTTTTATAGAAAGAAATATGAGTATTTGGAATTAAAGTAGGAATTTAGTGTGAAACAGTATAAGGTACTGGAGGGAGTCACAGAAGAAGCCTCACTAGATAAGAATTGGATGGCTACAGTGATATGTTTAAATGTTCTTGCAAATATTCAATAGTGTGCTTGCCTATAGATGAGACTTTTTTACATGTATATGTGTGTATGTTAATATAATGCTATGGTATTTAAACTTCTGCTATCCAGGCTGACAACAGGAAAAGATACAAGGAAGAAAATAATGATCACCTTGATGACTTAAGAGCAGCAGAAGTAGCCTGGCACAAGCACAAACAGCTCAATGAGTCCATAATTGTGGCACTCTTCCAAGGCCAGTTCAAATCCACCGTGCAGTGTCTGACGTGTCACAAGAAGTCCCGAACCTTTGAGGCTTTCATGTATCTGTCATTACCGCTCGCCTCCTCTAGCAAATGTACTCTGCAGGTATGGGGAGCTGGAGAGAAACAGCTCCTGAAGTGAAAACGTTCCTCTGTCAATTGATTRTGATGCTGCTTCTGCTCACMCTCTGGTTGAAGGGGTTGGTCAGCRYTCCGCTTAATTTGCACTAACCCGAAACATGAACAGATCTGAATCTGCATTATTTTTTAATTMTTCTAAAGTTTAAAGAAATAGGTCATCCTCTAAAAGTTTTAAATTGGAAGCAGAATGGAAATACTGAAGCTGCGTTGGCAGCATGTATTTTATTTGCTTTGGTAGGTCACATTGTAAGTATTCTGTGGTTTTAAACATGTTGTCTGTATATTTTGAAGGATGCTTTTTAATATCTGCAGTAAAATTTGCTTCCACTCATAGATTTAAGTCATTTTTCCTTATTTTGTGAAATGTAGGATGCAAATAACCGATGCAGGTTAACAACCTAATGGGAAACACATTTTTGCTATACTTCCATAAATGCCTGCCATTCACAACCTCTGTTTGTATTTTGTTTTAGGAATGCCTTAGATTGTTYTCCAAAGAAGAAAAGCTCACTGATAACAATAGATTTTACTGTAGCCATTGCAAAACTCGAAGGGATTCTTTGAAAAAAATAGAAATTTGGAAATTACCACCTGTTCTTCTTGTGCACTTGAAACGGTAAGGAAATGGTGATTGGTGAATATTAATTCGAGTGAAATGACCAGGGTTTRATGGAGCTGGATTGTTCCAGGGCAGTAGCTGACCATGTTTACTTAGAAGAAGTTACAGGTGTATTACCAGCTGTAATGGTGCAAGAATTTTATTCTCATCTGATGCTTCTTTTATAAGGCTGTGGTTCCTTTCACGGCACTTTTATAACTGACCTCTTGTTACTTGTGCTACAAAACACATGGGCAAGCATTAACAAAACTGGGGACTTTAGCTGACATCACATCATGGTTAAAAACAGGGAAAACAAGCATGCGTAATACTTCTAAATAGTGTGTGAAGAACCTGTAAATTTTAATGATGCTTTTTAATTCTCTAGATTTTCCTATGATGGAAGATGGAAACAAAAGCTTCAAACTTCTGTAGATTTTCCATTGGAAACCCTTGACCTTTCACAGTATGTTATTGGTCCAAAGACTTCCTTGAAGAGATACAATCTGTTCTCAGTATCGGTGAGTAACCGTGTCACGTTTCAAAATCCAGCTGCACTTTATGCCAAGTATCAGGGTAGCCTCTGATTCAGCCAGGTCKCCAGGCTGCTTTCTAGTTGCAGATCGTGTTCTAAAAACAATGATTGTTATCATGTTCTAGATTATTTCCCTAATTAGGGAAGCAATGGCAGCTTTTGAGGCCGCTAATTCTTGTCTTACGTTCACAGAATCATTACGGTGGGCTGGACGGGGGGCATTACACAGCCTACTGCAAAAATGCTTCAAAACAGCGCTGGTTTAAGTTTGATGACCATGAAGTGTCTGAGATCTCGGCATCCTCAGTGAAGTCCTCAGCTGCTTATATTCTCTTTTATACTTCYTATGAACAGCGAGCAGTGGATATGGCCACGTAAAGGAATGTGGGTTAAGAAAACTGGTTTTCTTTCTTCAAGAGCAAAGTAGGCCTGGGAATGCATATCAATATGCAAAACTACACCAGACATAGTCACTTGGAGGTGTGGGAGGGCTGCAGCAGGGTGTCTGCCAGCAGGGTCCGCTCGGGCCCGTAGTAGTGCTTAACAATCAGAGACTGAAGAGTAACGCTTGTGGTCATACTGCCATCTGTGAAACCATTTACAAGCATACTTGCATTACTGTTTATTTAATAAAGAACTATATTTTTAGTCTGCTCCAAAATTAAATTCTAGCTTAGTCATCTGAAATCTATTAACAAGTAGTTAAAAATGTCTTAAAATCCCAAGGCATATCTTGGTTTATTTTTTTCTTTCACTGTTAATGGCCTTTTCACATTTCTAACCTTAAGCTTGATTCTACTGTGAATACTCTAGAACGATGTAAACAGTTAGGAATGTAAGTGTACATATTGATTGCATACTTGCACATCAGAATTATGTATATAATAAAATGTTGTCCTTTTTGTGAGAATCTCTAAAACTCAGAGGATTGCGTTTATTTGCCAGCTCTAAGTAATTGCAACACTACTTAATAAAAAAGCAGAGCTGTATTATTTTTTTCTGTTAGCTTTTGTCAATTTTTGTGCACTTCAGAGTTATTCTAAACAAACAAGATTTTCCTTTTTAATTTTTTAATATAAATTTTCATGTACACATGCATTAAGAAATTATTTAAAAATATATCCTGTTAAATGTATGTTTGGGTTTGGTTTTTCATTCTCAGCTTGTTGTGTAATGATCAGGACTGTACWTATTAACAGTCTGAATCATATTCACACAGTTTAAATGTTCTCCAGATGAAAAAAAAGAACTATTTTGCATAGAACTGATTAGTTTGAAAACTGATTTTAGTTGCATCTTATGTATTTCCCTGCTCTGGACTGGGGTTAGTTTTCTCTTTTGGATTAGGTTGGCATTCGTAAGTCTTACATCTTGCATTCTGAGYTGTTACCTGTGTTTGTCTTGCTGATGGAATTAAGACCAATATTGATTGTTTTCCAGAAGCTTAAAAGCTGCAAACAAGTYTGAAATGCTGGATGAACAAAAATGACAGCAGTAGAACGATGCCTTTTTATTTCTTATATATTAATGGTTACTCCATGCTCTGCTCTCTTCTGAAGCACAGAGTCAGGTCTGGTTGTGTGATTTCACTTTGATGTCCTTCTGTTAGTTCCTGAAAGGCAGCTTAAAACAACCTCCTGTACTTAACCAGCAGAAAAACWAGAATTTCCATTAAGTACATCTCTATGCTCAACATCCATGTTCTTTTGAGGGGTGCAAGGGGGTTGTCATGGAAAACAGCCCTGGAATCCTGTCAAAGTGGAGCAGATGCACATTCCTTCACAGGCTTAGAGGCTGTAACTGTCCTTTCTAGGAATCACTTCCAGAAAGACCACAACAGCCGAGTAGCAGGGCAAATGCTCTACTTTATTGGTGAAACAGGAGTTGGTTCATGCTGCTGGGTGAATTCTAGTTGCTGCCCTATTCCCTGTTGGTTTTCAAGGACTAACAGAGTCTCAATAGCCTTGGGAGGTGTAGAAGAGGAGGTAAGCTGTGTCAGCCTGCACTGCTGAGTCTGGGATCTTGGTGACCTGTGCATCATCAAAGCTGTACCAGTGTTCGGTGACTGAATGTTTGCAGAAAGCCGTGTAGTGGCCATAATCCAGATCTCCAGCATGGTTCTGTAACAAACAACACAGTCTGTCAAATCTGAGTCCTGTTCTGTCTCCTTACAGGCAAAGTTAGGAACTGGCAATCATTTTTATGTATGCACTTGGAAAAGAGGGGAGAGAAGGTTTTAGCCCCTTCTGGCCTAGGGCAGGGAATGTTAATTCAAATAAATTCTTTCAAACACAGTAAATGGATGATGATTATGCTTATTTATTTTGTAACCCATCTATTAGTCATGATACAGGTCACTATAAGAAGACCCCACTTGTTTGTGAGCCATTTCCTTACTTAAAAAGAGGATTGATGCAGTATCAGCCTGTGAGTTTATTCTGAGGAGGAATTATGTGCCAGGAGTTCATTCTTCTAAAACTGGGATGTTGGGGAAGAAGSAGAAATACTTCTCTCTCCTTTAGTTACATACTGTTACTGCATTGTGTCCATGGCAGGTAAAAAAAAGTGCACAAAAAACCCATACATTGAAATATAAATCATTATACATGAAGTCCAAACCAACATTGGCTTCATCTGCTCCATGATGTAGGGCATTCCCAATAAAAGCAGGAAAGGCAAAGCTTACCACTACAGCACACAAGCTGTACTCTGTCTTCTTGGTAGATGGTGTGGTATAGGGAGAGAGGTCCAGATGCCTGAATGGGTAGCAGACAGTGGTTGAGAGTTTCCTTCTGTTCTGGTCCTGCCAGGCAAACCTGAAATGAAATTTTGGACGCTTTTAAAAGACCTTCAAATTCTGTTTATGTTGTGGTGGTTGCTTAACTGACTTTCCTAGGAGGAGGGAAAACCAACAGCTCACTACCCAGCATTTGAAGGAAAAATCTCTATTAACATGTATTACAGTAAAGTAACAGAAATGCACTAAACCCACATGAGATGTCCAGCAAGAAAAGCAAAGCTCTTGCTTCCTGATCCTGAAGTCGGATCTTCAGCCTGAAGTCAAATCTTTGGCAACTCTCTCTGTGTCCTGCACATTTGGACTGGACTGCAGTGCCATTGTCAACTCTTGTCTCATGCCAGAGTCCATCCCTCTTCCCTCTGTAATGTTGAGTACATCACTGCACTTTTAAACATTTACAGTGCAGCCAAGAGCTGCAGCTGGGGACCACATGTCCTTTGAGAATGCTGAGAAAAGCAGATGCTGAATGGAAAATTAAACAATAACTTCAGATAACATAGTTCTGGGAAGACAAATCATCCCAGAGTGGTTTTCGTTATAGGTGGAAAGTTGCTAAGAAAAAAATTCTTTAGAATAAATTCAGCATCTGGCTGTGYGTGGCCAGTGAAGTCTGCTAACCTAGGTGCTCCTTTGCTGATGCASCACTGGGGTTTAGGCCTAATTTAGTAACAGAGTGTCTCAGCTGCAATAATAGCAAAACACCCTGTGTCACCCTGTCCTGCTCTTGCAACCCAAGCCACAAGATCTCTCTCCACATGAACTGATTGACAGGGATCATTCAGGGACTTTATGAGCCACTGCACTGGGCTAGAGTCAGTCACTGCTTAGTGAAGATTTTCTTACCTCTGGAGGGTAGATCTCAATTATAGTGAGAAATTTGGTGAGCTGCAGTACACAGTAAGGCAGAACACCTTGCATGAGATTTCAGGGGTGCAATTTGCATGTTTGACAGCTGTGTTTCTGTAAATGGCCATTTAGCTTTCAGGTATCAGAAGTACTAAGTCCACTCACAGTGATTTGTTTGCTTTCATGCAAACACAAGTGACTGTCCTTTGTGTCTCACATTACCCAGGAACTGGCTACGTCCTACCCCACTTAGACTGTACCTCTTCAGGTGAAAAATAATRATCTGTGGTGCCTGGATTATAGAGGCCTTTACTGTAGCATCCTGGCTGGTTTGACACCAGCCACAGTGGATTTGGTTGTTCTGAGTCAGTGTGTCTGGCTGAAAAAAGCATTCCAGGCAGTCCTGTCAAAGAAAAAAAAAGCAAAATCACTTGATCAAATAGATCTCACTCCACCCCTGAAGATGGTAAGCAAAGTAATCTGTGATGCWGCAAGRCTGACATTACAAATGCATTTGCAAGACAAAGCAGCCAACACTGGCTTCCTTTCTCCCCTACAAGAGGGGGAAATACTTGAATGAGTGGAAGAAACCCTCATGGTGCTATTGAATGATCTTAACATCCTTCATCCCCTGGCAGCTCATGAGCACTGCTGCTGTAACCTTACCAGCCTCCATGGTTCTGAGAGCAGTGAAGAAACCCCACTTTTCTGAGGACCAGATCCAAGACTATCCATTAGCACCCAAGARCCCAAAMTAACTAAAWCCCTGCATCTTTCCAGTAACACCTRTTAGTCTAGGCCTGTACTCCCACATGAAGCAGAAAGCAGCAGGAATGTTGGCTGTTGTACCTGCAGAGAGCACAGTCTGGTGGAAGGGATGGGCAGGGAGAGGACGGTGAAGCTCTCGGGTCTGTCAGTGAGGGCTTTGCATCTCAGACACCTGATACCGTAATTGAGCTGTCCCTCAAACAACTTTGTGATAATAGATTTGCCATTGCCACGCCCTGTGCTTGCTCCTGCATCATGGCTCTGTGTTTCTTCACTTGGCTATACAGAAGAGAAAAAAAGAACAAAATGCAGATAAGCAACTGTTTGAGAAGTGCCTTCATTGGGTTTTGATAGTTGCTGCCCACTGCCTAGGTAGGTCAGGAGTTAGTCTTGCCACAGAACTTGGYTTTAAAMTGCTGTTACTTTACTTGATTGAGARTAAGATTGATTTCTTTYCTGAGAGTAACAAAAATACAACAGTTCAGACATTTGACAGCATTAATTGCTTGAAAAGCTCTTTATTAGTGGCACTGGAGGTGAGAAAGACATGGGGCCATTGCAGACAAGAAGTCTTCATGGAGATAAGAAAGTGGAATAACATTAAGTGCAGAAGAAGCAAGGAGAGGGTCAGATGGTGAAGCTATACACAGCATTGTTATTTTGATAGGGGGTTGCAATTTGATGGAGAATTAGATATGCAAATTAATGAATGTGTATACATGGGTGTGAAACAAAGGTAGAAAAGGACAGTTATTAGTGGCCCCAAATGGAGTTCAGAAGAGGCAATTATTACATGGAATGCTAAGTCATGAAATGCAGAGGAAACAGCTAGAGTTCCTAAAACATCTGGGCTCTTACCTCCTTGAAAGCCTGATGGAGGTCATCCAGCACACAGATGAGGAACTCCTGCGCGTCATGCTGAGCCCTCCTGCTAAACACTGGGTACCGCTTCCCAAAGACGGAATGAAAAGCCTCAGGGGAAACGTAGTCAAACTCTCCATGCCACATGTCCGACATCAAACAGCCAAAGGCAATTGCTGACTCACCAACCTCCCTTGGAAAAAAGGGGAGAGTTTCAGATGAAGTATGAAAAAAACTGTCTGCCTTTAAATGGGAGCACAATATAGAAACTTAGAAATGAGGTGCAGGTACAACACGGCTCTGACAGCTGTCACTTGGCTTGAGGGACTCTGCAGATCCCAGAAAATGATAGGAATCATTGAGACAGCAGTGACAGTAACAGGTATTACCAGCAGAATGGCAAAAAAAGTACAATGAAGGACCCAGCAAGGAAACAAAGGGCTCTCAAAGCTGGTAGCCAGTCTGACCAGAACTGCCTGGGGGGAGCTGGCAGGTGCCTGCCTCAGACATTCCCACAGCACCATGTATCCTTTGGGAGRAAAATAGTGCCAAGCTGTAAAGTCTCAGAACTGTGAACAAACCAACTCACTCGTGCAGGTCTATGTTCCACCTTCCCGAGAGGAAATACTGCACGAGTGGGGTGAGGCTGCAGAGGCACTGCAGCACCGCGTTCATGTAGCACGTGTTCTCCAGGTTCTGCAGCCCCGTGAGCCCCGGGTGCCGGCTGCTCATATCGTCCAGCTGTTCTTTGCAGGAATACATCCATTTCCATGCCATCCTTCCACCTGCTATGAGAACAATCCACACCAGTGGAAATCTAAAATGCTGCAGTGCTTTTTGTGCTGTGTTTTTTTATAAAGCAGTACTGCTTTCAAGAGGCATTTCCTGCTGTTTCTTCTTAAAAATTACGTTTACATTTATTTTCACTGGGCCAATAGTGGTGAAGACTCTTCATCTTCCACACTAAGCTCTTTCCAATATGGTGAGATACATCACTAAGAGGTATTATTTAAATGCCTGAGGTTTAGAGTTATTTCTAAAATTCCATCCAGTCTTCTACTCCATACACAATTACTCAAAAYCTGTAAGCTGTGAAGAGCCATCTTAAGCTTTTTTGCTCGAAAGAGTGCATATTACATTATATTTCATTTTCTCAGGGCATAATACTTCCATATTTTCTAAAACCATAGGTTGCAGTGCAGATGCTACAATAAACAGAATGTTCTTTAGATTTTTGCCATAAAATGTTACTTAATTCACGTTAAGAAAATTTTAGTAGGTTTTTTTGTGGCTGCACAAGTCTGTCTTGGACCAAACTGTCCCAAACAGGCCAAGGAGAGGCTGAACACAGATCAGACATCACCCAAATGTGCTCACCTGTGTTGCTGCTCTCTCCCTCTTTTAAAGACTGGTGTTTTTAGAGGCTGACACTCTACTCTGAGGCAGGACAGAGAWCTCTAAAACCACAGCAATTTCTGTAGAGCAAAGATGAGTGGTACCCTGCCTCGGCCCCATGTTCCATCCCGTCCCTCCAGCTGCTCCTGCCCCAGTCCTTTTGTGACATCACTTGGTTACGCTGGGCAGGGTAACACACCTGGCCCAACCCACCTTTATCCATATTAGTTCTYACTTGTATTAGGATTTATTATTGCCATGCTCTGCTGGACGGGCAGTGATGACTGAGAGTGTCCATAAAAGGATGGAGCTGCCTCAAAACATCACACTGAGTTAGTTCATTGGTGTTCTGAACGTTTTCCTGGGGGAAAATAAACATATGGCAAATAAGTGGCTTTTAATTAGTTAYGTTAGTGCAGTTCATCCCTGAATTCCATATGCCACTAAGAAGCAGCAGTTTTTCCCTGWTTAACTGACAGCTTGGGAAGTAATAAGTATGCAACAGAAAAGGCYCATGAAGCAATTTTTAAAAATCCCAAATTATCTTACTTGGTAAACTTCAAGGAAAGGATGCCTCCAGCATTACCAGGACAGCTGTCACTGTTATTAATCTCCCAAAGTGGTTATCTGCAAACAGACACAAAAGCAATGCCCTCCCCTCTGCCCCTACTCAAAATCTGATCTAATTTTGCAAATGGACCTGGATATGCTCATTCCTACTTTTTGTGRAATCTGAATCAAGACTTTGACTTCCCATTTCAATGTAACACGATACACAAATCCACACCGTGCAAGCTACTGAAGGCTGTGGGGCTGAGAATTAACTTTCCATTACTCTCACCAGAAGGTGAATTACTTGCAAGGAGAAGTAGTAATTGTGAAAAGTAAGATTAAATCATCAGAACTTTTTCCAGAGGCATTGTTACATGTAAAAAGATTCTATTTTTTCCCCCCACTGGTCTTTTAGGCACATTCAATATGAACTGTTACTATCAAGTTTCTTGCTGTAGCTTTTTTCCCTTTACATTCCTGCAGTGTTAAGAGTTATGGCATTAGGTGAGATGCAACCATAAAGAATTAAGTGTAAAAAAATCACTGTTGCAGGCTTAAAAACCAAACCCCTCCTTTTCCACATCACAAAGCTGCTGAGCAGCAGCTAAAAAGACAGCTCCCCTGGAGCTGTATTTTGCTACAATACATTTGGGATTGATTTTCTCTGTAATGTTTCATCACCTRAATATTGCAAGAAAGCAGTCAACAATGCTGACTTTGGTGGATTAAGTAAAAATCTAAATTATGCATCTTACCTATTTCCCTATATGAGAAATACTCTATTAAATACTCTCTTCACGGGAAAGTCACTGAAGCATTTTGGATTTTCCCTAAAAAAATACAGGTGGTTTGAATTATATTCCCATATTTAAAAGCTAGGTTCTAAGAAGATATGCCACTACTTTAGTTCTTGGATAGTTATCAGAAGTTCCAGTGCTTCTACTTTCCTTCTCTTTGATAATCTAAAAGAAATTTAAAAGSTAAAGGATCACAACTCTTCCCCTATTTATAGAGCATTTCAAGACTCGTGAGGTTTCGGCAGAGGAGTGACATTTGATGTTCTCAGACAAACTGAATTCCATGGAATAATCTTCATGTTCCTACTGCCCAACATCAGCAGGATGTGGCACTGTTCAAACAGAGTCAGGCTACTTTTTCAAACTTGTTTTTTCCCTTTGCCACCAGACTTTGCCAATGTCTTCCCTGAAGGACACTGGACATTTATGATTTGTTTTCTATAAGTATGGAGTAGATCACTTCTGAAAGTTACGTATTTCTCCTCCCTCAAATTTAGACATACACTTATTATGTAATTCTAGCTGTAAACCACACAGTAAGCTACTGCTCATGCCAGGGAGATGTACAGAAATATGAACAGTGGTATCCAAGTCTTACAGGCATTTCCCAACCACATCTTTCCCTTTCAGTTTTGAAAAAGCTTCAGGCCTGAGTCACTGCAAGACTGAGCAGAAGGAACACTCCCCATGATCACTCACCCATCACAAGGTGGTTACATTTGTTTATTTGGCTAAGAAATGAGTCACAAGCAGAACTACTGAAGACCAGAAACACAACTAAAAATTAACTGTGCGTAGTTAAGTATTTGTTAAGAAACAAAATGTTTCCCGCCTTTTACCTAGAATCTTCTCTAAATGTTTTTCTTATTTCATACACTGAATTTGGTGACATTTTCAAAACTAGAGGCTCCTCTAGAAATCTCTCAATTTGCAGAGCCAATCACACTTCCAGACTCAGTGTTGAAGTTACTTGGCATTAGAAAGGTACAGGGACATCTCAAATATCTGCCCATTCCCTCCCAGCAACAGGAGGAGATGCAGTCAGGCATCTAAGAACAAGTTTCCTATTAAACTGTGAAGAGTTATTTTTGACTCATTTACTCATTAATCCCCTCAAATGTGTTTGACAACTATGACAGTTTTCACTTTTTTACCTCCCTAGTCCTGGCCAAAGTTGTGATACCTCAAAGACAAACAACTGCTTTGATCCAGCAGAGCAAATTCTACTTTTCTGCATAAGGGTTATTTAAATTCACCAAAACAACCTTTCAGACTGAGACGGAGAGCAGAAGTCTGTAAACAAGAATAAATTTATTTTAGATTCTTTAAAGATTTAATGATATACAAAATGTATACAGTATTATATCCTTATAACATTTTACCTTTCCCCATCAAACATAAAACACCATTTAAACAACTATTGTGTTCGTGCCTTAGGTCTGTATCTATAAGATACACTACTGAATAAAAAATTTATAGAGCTATATACTGCCCTTTTAATTAAAAATTACAAATTAGTACCTATGTAACAAAAAAAATCGCAGCATGAAACTTCAGTTGGACAACCGGTTTTTTTCTTGCTGAATGCTCAACAATATTTGGGACAGTTAAATTACATTTTATTGGCATGAAGGTGCATTGCAATCTCCCGTACTTTACACAATGCTAATCCAACCCTAGTCTCTCTTAAGTAAGTACCACAAATAACATAACAATAAAGATGTTTTCTACACAATTTTAAATACATTTACAAGTTATGTGTACATTCTGTTTCAATATACTGGTTTTAGGAGATCTTTGGAAGGCAGAACTTCTGAAGCAGTCACTACGTATGTACGAGGGAAAGCACTTCCAACTTGTGTTCTTACAAGGCAACTTATTTGGACCAGCACAAACTAATTCTTCTATTAAATATGATTATACCAGTCTATCATGGCTTTGTTACTATTTGACAGTGACTTGATAAAATTGAAATGTGTAAAACAAGAAATTTCATTATGCACAATTCAGGCTCTATTTCACAAAACAAAAACAACCAAGCCCAGCTTTACAGTTGTGAAGCTGAAAGAATCCTGATTCAGGAGACTTTCTTTTTTTTGGAACAGATCAAGTTCCTACCTTCAGCTTCAGTCTATTGGCATCCTATATACACCTCATTTGGCTCTGTCCTCTTCAAAAGGCCAGATTAAAAGACACCTGGTGAGAAAACATTAGTGGAACACTTCCGAAAACACTCTAAGAATACTCTGGCATTACAGAGGTAGGTGCTTTCTCCTGGTTTTGCTCATTGACAGTAAGACAAATGCCAAAAAGACAAATGCTTTACCTTAAAACATCAACTACCAAAATCCTTCTGGTGGAAGGCATATTTCCCACCATAGGAGTACAGGAGGAAAATCATCCACTAAACCAAAATAAAATAAAAAATAAAACTTTCTGCTTAAAAAGCCCCTTTAAAAACACATCTTAAATACTTGTCATTATTCCACCTTTAGAATGATCAGCTGCCACACTGCTCTGTAGATAGTTAGCACAAGTTGTAAAATCCTTARATTATGGACCAGCCAAAATTCCACTTATAAGACAATAATCCTTGTTTTGACAAGTTTTTCTTTTCATTATTGTGAGGGAAAGGTAAGTGACAATTTTGTGAGGTTCCATGAAGTTTGAACGCAGCCACTGAGTTGGTCACATCATCAGAGCATCAGACGAATAGAATTGGCCGGATCRGAATCTTTGGTGCAGCTTCCAGGCTGAATTGTCAATTCAGGGGCATCGTCCTGAGGAAATATGATCTTGTCAGGTGTGTAATCATTCCTCTTCAGATCTGCACAAACAGAACAAAGCCATAATGATTACTATTTCCTGAACTARTAGAATCAGTGGGGCATAAACACCTAGAAATGAACTGGATATGCAAGTGGACTTATACAGAGGAATTCCAAAATAYGCAGGGTCAAAAAAGGGATGTTTTTATCATAAGTGCAATCAGAAGCCTAAAGTTGAATTACAAAACTGCTGTTGATTACTTATCCCACTTTCACAGCATGCCTTGACTATTTCATGAGGTATCATGCAACATCTCATGACATGAATGTCACAGAAGGAGGGATGCAGCAGCTCTTACCAGG